TTTTTGCTCGTTTTTGCTCGATTTTACAAAAAAAAACTTTTTGCTAGACATCATATGTAGACTTAAGTTAGGCAGAAATGCTAGAGTATCGGCTGGCACATGGACGCGAAACCGAAAGCCCTTACAACTTTGTGTTGCAGCATCGATTTGGAAACTTAAAGCAAAACATAGAGGATCCTTTGAAAAAGAGGATTAAGAACTTTGTTGCTTATGTTGATGCTGGAATAAAAAAATGCTCTCGGATAGTTCCAAGGTATAAGGCGCAGAAATAAAGTTTTCTTGCATTACGTTTTCAAGCGAAATTTAATTGAGGAGATATTTACTAAAGTTATTTTATATATATTTAAAATTTATTGGATATATTGGACCAATTTTCCTGGATATTTTGTAAATTTTTGTCCCAGGGTGCATTGGTTTCTATGGGGCGGAAAGGAAGGCGTGGCCCGATCGGCACAAAATTTGGTCCAGATTTTGCATATATAATAACTATATAGTGTACCAAGTTTCAAGTCCGTAGCTTCATATTTCTAGTTTATGCAAGAATATTGAGCTTTGGGACCAGTGTGCAGAGCACGTATTAGTAACACGGTGGAGCGTTGTCTTCATGGATCATGACCAGCTGCCAAGATACTTCGCCTTTGGAAAAAGCCACTTGCTGCGGGCCTGCAAGTTGTGTAAATAATCGTATCGCCAAAGCTCCCAGAATTGATACTAGATGTGGGTGACCCGTTGCCATCGTGTCAAGTGCGATAGGATGCACTCCTCTAAACTTGGCTCGGGAAGTGCTTTTAAAGACGTTCTGACCAAAAAATGCGATGGATTGAGGGCTTCTCCATCGTTTGGATCTTCTGAAAGAGGCATGAAAAGTGAAAAGTGACCAGTGTTTTTTACAAACTTTACCGCCACCTCCCACAAGCTGCCAAAATGTGGTGCGCGGGATAGAATAAAGCTAAATTCTACGCCATTGGATGAGGTGAATCTTTGTAGGTCCTTTAACGCTTGAATTTTGAATTCCTCTAGTTGAGAGCGGGTTCCAACAAAGTTGGTTGCGTTGTCGCAGAATATGCGACTTGGCAAACTTCTCCGCCCGATGAAGCGCTTTAAACAGAGAATAAAAGTATTAGTTGAAAGATTGGTTAATAGGTTAAGAATTACCACAACAGAAGAGAGGATTATACCTAAAAGAAAAAGATAGCAACAGAAGCAGAAAAAGGACTAAATAATAATCGTGAGGAGGATATGAAAAAGATGTCAAGATTGTTGCGAAGTTGCGAAAAATCAGCGGCATAAAAAAAGGCGGCAGTTGGAAAAAAATCAGTAAAAACAAAGATGAAAAACAGCAGCAGAATTTGATTGATGTATTTTAATTTATAATCTAATATTGGAATAAAACCGAGTCGAGTAAAGCACCGTGTCTTACATTTATATTTTGTATGGAGCCTTTTCGCGAATACCAAAAATGGACCACACAGGCCGACTCCAGAGACAGCAAAGGGTTTTGTGAGTGACAACCGGTCAGCAGGAAATGGCCCCATGACCTGGTCCAGCAAACGAGGCTTATAGTAATAACAGTTGCGAACCACTTGGCTAACCAGTTGACGAGAATTAACTAATCATACTTGGAGACGTAAGATTCCGATTAAAGCCTTGGGCCCTGCGTGGATATTAGTTTGGTGAAAAAATTCAACGAGTTTATATGTGAATGCGTATTCTTTTGGCAGTAAAGGTGGGTACTTGGCTTCGACTTGTATTTTCGCATTTTCTAGACGCCCGCCAAAACGAATGAGTGTCACCGTGCAAGTTCCGATAGCTGATTCCGACAAAAAGGGTGTGAGCCCTTGAAGATCTGCGCTGAGGACTTTGCCCTTCCTAAAACAATATTTTTCCTTCCAATACTTTTGATGCTGAATAAGTATAACAACAAACAGAAAAGAGTGCTGCAATTCAGTTGCTGGCATTTTAGCCGCTTACGGCATGCAGAGGTTGTAGCTTGGAGAAATCTTGTTAAACGCCCGCAAAACGTAGGTTGTGTCTCGAAGAACACGATGAAGAGAATACGAAGAGACTCGATTCAGAATTTGATCAAGATTGTTTCCTTTAGATCCGGTGCATTTAAATGATGACATTTTCCGTTTTTTTAGATCCGCATCTATGGTTTCGATGTTGTCAAACGACTGCGGCCAAAGATGTTCTTCCGACTTAAGAAAGGTTGGTCCTGTAAACCAACTTGTATTTTAAAGTTCGCTGGCCTTGCATCCACGAGATTTGATGTCAGCCAGGTTTTCTTTTCCTGGCACATGACTCCAAGAAATGTTCGATGAATTAGTTTGAATTCCTGAGATTCGATTAGCTACAAAGCAATTCAGGCAGGACCACTGAAACGAAAGAAGGCACACCGCATCTTAAAACGTCTGGCCACCAACCCCATAAGAGAGGATCAGACTTCCAAGGAGGACTACCAAAAGATCCAGGAGGACATAGCCTGGGGAAAGCCAGTAATTCCAGACTTCGACCCCGCAAAGGTACCAAGCGACAGCAACAAGCGGGAGAGGTCGATCGAAGTGGCTCAACCAGCGAGCAAAAAGGCCAAGACAACCAGCCGCGGCACGTGGTCTAGATCCTTTGCCGAAGTGGTGAAGGATCGAAAGATCATCGGCGTCATCGACCAGAACGATGAAGGCGGCAGGATCCCAAGGAACCAGTGGGGTCAGGTTAGGCGGGCACTTGCGACGGTGGCCTTGAAAGTGCTGGACGAAAACCCAGGACCACCACCTGACTGCACAGATGCAGGGTGGTACCAGGGCAACGTAAGGTTGATCGCCTGTGAGGACGAGAGATCGGCAGCGCTCTACAAGGCTGCCATTACCAAAGTTGGCGAGGTCTACCCCGGGGCCAAGCTAGCCGTCTGCGAGGCAGCGGATATCCCGTCCAGACCAAGGGCGAGGGTGTGGTTGCCGTCTGAACCCTCTGAGCCAGAGGGTATTCTTAGCCTCTTGACAAGGTTCAACCCCAAGCTCCCAACAGAAGGTTGGAAGGTGGTGAAGGTTGAGAAGACTGAACGCGTCACCATGAACGTGGTGATTCTCCTCAACCAGGCATGCCAGGAACCCTTGGCAGCATCACAGAACCGTGTCAACTACGGTTTCGACAAGGCGACACTCCGCATATACGACACGGACAAACTAGCGGCAGACAATCTGGCTGCATGTGCGTCCTACGAACCCCCAAGCGACGACGAGATGGAGCACGAGGAGACACTCCACACAGGGTACGTGTCGACCGATTCGGACCTCACAGAGACTCTGAAGCAGTTGAGCACCCGCAGTGTGCTCCAGGACATTGTGGAGGAAGTAGAGGGTACCCAGCCCGAGCCCAACCCGCAAAATGGTGCAGTATCTACAGATTAATCTGCACCACAGCAAGGCAGCATCTGCTGCCCTCCTCACCCGCCTGGCAACGGGCAAAATAGACATAGTCCTCATCCAAGAGCCATGGATTGTTGCTGACAACATCTGTGGCTTATCAACCCCCACATACAAGCTTTTTCACATTAAGGGTAAGGGTAAACATAGGACCTGCATTCTGGCTCAAACATCATAACACAACAACTCATACAAACACACTCCTCTAAGGAACTCATCCTGGGTGAAGACGCCAACTCACACCACACACAATGGGGAAGTACAAATACGAATGAAAGGGGTGAGTTACTTTATGACTATCCCCTTCAATCCAAATTATTCATCTGCAACAAAGGTAATGACCCTACTTTCATCACTAGAAATAGGAGGGAAGTCTTAGACATTACCCTGATATCCGACACCCTACTCAACCATCTTGAAGAGTGGAAAGTGGGAGCCGAACACTCCTTCTCCGACCACCGATATGTAGAATTTACAATATCTCTAGAATGCCCTCCCCCCGAGAGCATAAGAAATCTAAGACGCACTAACTGGGGGTACTACAAAAAACTCCTCGATAGAAACCTAAATACTCCACCGACTCGCGTACTCGACAGTCATGAACTAGAAAACCTAGTCAATACTTTCACTGACATCTGTGGTGAGGCCATTAAAAAGGCCTGCCCAAGCAGAACAGTCAAAACAAAACACAAACCGCCTTGGTGGAACACTACCCTAGCGGCCCTTAAAAGCGATTGCAGAAGTCATTTTAATAGAGCTAAATATAGCAACAGCGAGGCTTCCTGGAACACGTACCATACGAAGCTAAGCCATTACAAAAAGGAAATTAGAGCATCAAAGCGAAGAGAATGGGCCAACTTCTGCAGTAGCATAGAATCTACAGCGGAAGCGTCCAGGCCCAGAAGAATCTTAGCAAAATCTCCAGTAACCGTTGGATACCTAAAAACCAATGAAGACACCTGGACGGGAAACAGCCAGGAAACTTTAGAACTCCTGCTAGACACCCACTTCCCTAATAACACGCAAGCAGTAGAGGACCTCCATTTAGTGGAGAGCCTCGACGAGCAGAGCATAGACAACATTTCAAACCCTGAACGCATCAAATGGGCGATTAACTCTTTTAAGCCGTTCAAATCACCTGGCCCTGACGGCTTTTTCCCTGCACAACTTCAACGGACAATAGATACTACCCTTCCATGGCTGACGGTCATATTCCACGGCTGTCTGGCACTGAATCACATACCATCCAGATGGCTGGATATTAAAGTAATATTTATACCAAAGGCCGGCAAGCCCTCTCACACCTCTCCAAAGGACTTCCGTCCAATAAGCCTCTCCTCCTTCTTGTTAAAGACCCTGGAAAGGCTAATTGACACACACATCAGACTAACTACCAACCCTAGTTTACTCTCAAATGCACAACATGCGTACCGTAAAGGCAGATCAACAGATACTGCCCTTCACTCCCTAGTATCTTATATAGAGAGAGGGTTCCATAACAAGGAATACTCCCTGGCAGCCTTCCTAGACATAGAAGGCGCTTTCAACAATGTCACCCCAACGGCTATCACTGGCGCTATGACGGAACTAGGCATTGAGCGTCCTATAGTGGGACTCATTCACACCATACTCACCAGTAGGGTAGTGTACTCCACTATGGGATCAGCACAATCGACTAGGAACGTTAGTAGAGGAACACCGCAAGGCGCTGTACTTTCCCCTCTGCTATGGGTTATAGTTGTTAATAACCTTCTATCACTTCTAGAGGAAGCGGGAACAAAAGTGGTGGCCTATGCGGACGACGTGGTTATCCTAATGCAAGGAAAATTTCCTCAAACGCTATGCAACCTGATGGAGACAGCCCTATCCTCACTCTCAAGGTGGACAGCGCGCTGCGGACTGGGTGTCAACCCAGAAAAGACAGAATTAGTTCTATTTACAAGGAAGTATAAGATACCAAGTCTAACTCTCCCAAAACTACTCCAAACTCGCCTTACTCTTAGCAACCAAGCAAAGTATTTAGGCGTCATCCTAGACAAGAAACTCCTCTGGGCAGAGAACATCGCGGACCGCACACGCAAAGCGGCCATAGCACTCTTTGCTTGTAAAAAGCTATAGGGAGAAAGTGGGGCTTCTCTCCCGTAATAGTTCACTGGCTATACACTGCAATAGTCAGACCCATTCTCCTCTATGGAATCATCGTCTGGTGGCACTCCCTAGAAAAGAATTGCAACCTGAAGAATCTGCACAAGATCCAAAGAAGCGCAGAACTCTGCATAAGTGGGGCGCTTCGCACAACCGCCACTGAAGCATTGAATACAATTCTTGACCTAGAACCTCTAGACCTGCTTGCCAAAAGCTGGGCATCAGCAACGGCGCTGAGGCTCCGCGAAGCGTCGGCCTGGTCAACAGGCTCATCAGGTCACTCCCGTATACTTACAAACCAGCGTTATATACCACACAGAACAGACTACACCCACAGTCAACTTCGAAAAAACTTATAAGGTTCTCATACCCACCCGCTCAGAATGGGACCACCTCCCTCACCAGATCGAGAACGCCTTCAATATATACACGGATGGCTCCAAGCTTAACTTGCAAACAGGAGGGGGAGTTTTCTCGCCTGAACTAGACATAAAAGTCTCCTTTCGACTACCAGATCACTGTAGTGTCTTCCAAGCGGAAGTGATGGCAATCCAGGAAGCCATGTCTTACCTGGATACAACAAAACACTGCAATACAGACATCTTCATCTTTTCGGACAGTCAAGCAGCCCTCAGGGCCCTCGACTCCTACTCAACTAACTCACTTACTATCTCTGAATGCCGCAAATCTCTGAACGAGATGGCCACTCATCTCAGAATCAGCCTCATTTGGGTGCCTGGACACCGTAACATTGAAGGCAACTGCATAGCGGACGAACTAGCAAGACAAGGGACAACCACCGACATCCTTCGCGATAAGGACACGGTGGGCATGCCCATAGCTACCTGCAAGCTTCTCCTCAAGCAAAGATTGTACACCCTCTCCAACAACCGTTGGAACACGATCTCAACATGCCACACCTCCAGGCTTACCTGGGGTAACTATAATCCGAAAAGAACCAAAACCCTCTGACAATGTAACAGGGCAGACATTTCCACCTTAATTAATGCCCTCACGGGCCACTGTCTTTTAGGGACACACGCGCGCAGGCTAGGACTCAGCAGCTACGACTACTGTCGCAGCTGTAAACAGATAGAAGAAGAGGAGAACATTGAACACCTCCTGTGCTTCTGCCCAGCACACAAACGTTTTCAAACACTAGGAAGCTACACGCTTCCAAACCTTGCAGCCATACAAGGCACCAGCATACCCAAACTCCTTTGTTTTCTGAAAAGAACCAACTGGTTCGAGAAACCCAATTACCCATGAGCTAGGGAAATGGATCTTTTCTGAGATCACATGGTATCACAAGGGGCCCATGGCGGCCTAAGTGAGGGGATTAGTTTATAATCCCCAACCATGCTCACCTAACCTAACCTAACCTAAGCAATTGTGTAATACAAAGTGTAATACGATTTCGGGTCTGTCCAGAAAACAACCTTTTGTATGCTGTTGAACTTATGTTTTATTTTGTTCCACGTATCGCAATAAAAAAAAATGCAGCACATAACTCTAATCGTGGAAGGGAAAGGACTTTAATTGGGACGTCTTCATTTGTTAAGTTACTATTTCGAACTGATTTCTTTATTAATTATTACGTAGCTAACATGAGAATCTTATGTTACTCTTATCTAAAGACCCACGCAGATATACCTGCTTATTTTTGGGTAAAAATGAATAGAGCGACCCGAAATAAGGTCATCCCATATTCGGGTTACAATTTATGACCTCATTTTAAAATACGGTTCACACAATCATGTTTGAACATTCTGCCAAGGGCCAGCAAGATAAGGTTTGTCGATAAATTGATTTATAAGGTATATGATGTGATATATGTATATTTTATTTAATTTCATTTAATTTCATTTATTTATTAATATACATTCTGGAAAATAGCAAAAATAATACCAATTCCCAAATCAGCTACAGAGTATCCACCTATTGCTATCCTGCCTTTTTTGTCAAAAGTTCTTGAGAGGTTAATTGCTAACCAAATCGTGAGTTTTATGGATGCACACAATGTCTTTTAAAAAAAAAACAGTCCGGTTTCCGGAAGAACAAATGGATAGTGGCAAGATTACTTTATTGACGCTTTTAGATTTCAGTAAGGCTTTTGACACAGTAAACCACGAAATATTATTAACTAAACTAAGTCGTCTTTATATGTTTTCAACCTCTGCAACAAGTTTTATGAAATCATACTTATCTCAAAGATCACAGCTAGTAGCTACACAAGCCTCTAAATCATCTATTCTGTCCGTAAAACGTGGTGTACCGCAGGGGTCCATTCTTGGTCCCCTTTTGTTCAGTCTATATGTTAATGATTTGCCAAATATTCTATCAAAATGTGACATGCATATGTATGCCGACGACGTCCAACTATATGTAAGCTGTCCTGTTAGCCAAATTAAAGAATGTGTTCGTGTCTGTAACACTGAATTAGACAGGGTTTGTAAATGGGAAGAGCGCAATGGATTATCCTTGAACCCCCTGAACTCAAAATGCATAGTAACATTTAACCGATTTTTTAACACAGATCATCTGGAAAAACTTTGCTTGAATGGTCAACAAATAAACTATGTAGATCGAGCGAGCAACTTGGGGTTTACAATAAATTCCACTCTTTCCTGGAGTAATCATGTAAATTGTACGGTTGGGAAAATGTATGGGATACTTAGACAACTAAACGACACGAAAACCTTTTTACCAATAAATTTAAAAATGCTCGTTGCGAAAACCAAGCTGACACCATTACTATTTTATGGAGTCGAAGTCTTCGGAAATTGTGACGCTACTAGCCAGAATAAACTCCTTGTAGCTTTCAACAATGTAGCGAGATCTATATTTAATCGCAGGCGCAGAGATCGAATCTCTGACGCAACTTATAACATTTTTGACATGCCGCTCAAAGCTTGGATCAAGTTCAAAACACTAATACTGCTGCACAAAATAATAACAACTGCCGAGCCAAAATATCTTTTTAGCAAGCTAAAATTCAGCGCTTCCAATAGAACAAATAACCTAATTTGTCAAGTCGTAAAACACTCCTATGCCGAGAAACACTTTTTTATCTGTGCTGTACGTTCTTGGAATAAACTACCACATCCAATAAAAACCATTAAATCTGCCACGCAATTCAAAGCAAAATTATACACACATTTTTCAAACTAGTAATTAATTTTAAAAAACTTTAGTCTTTAAGAAATCAATGTTTGTAATGTCATCATTTATTTATGTTCATGAATCTGACAAATTGTGACTAGCGCTTTAATTTATAAGTATTTTTCTGCACTTGTAGCGTTAGGAAGAAATAAAACCAAAATTAAATTATAAATTATAAACTATATGATCAAATATTTGAAGGGCTTCATATTTTAATGATCTTGTGAATGGTTTTGGATTTTATTACCCAATTATACAGTAAATCTTTTATTTTGACATGATTTCTTTCGTTCTTTGATCGTTTATTTTTAAAACATTTGATCGGAAATATTTTAATTTTTCTTTGCCTAAATCGATATAAATTGCGCATTATTATCTTAATTAAGATTCCTTTTCCCCTATATGTAATGGGTTTATATAATTGCTCATCAATGTAGACCTAACATCTTTTCTCATTTTTTGGATAAGCACAGAACATTCTGAATTACCATTTATTATATTACTTTGCCAAGATTCCCCCACGTCTGGGTTTTGTATAAAAATATTCACTTCTGTATTAAGTGCAGATTTTATTGCTATGTCGTGAATACCTCCAAAGTGAGGTCCTTCCGACGTTTTTAATTTCATTTGGAATCACGGAATCATCAAAAAACTTTTCCTTTTTTAGTGGAAACGATACGATTTCCAAATCTATTGCGTTCAATTTTACACTCTTATCTTTATTTATGGCTTCCTTATCCCGCAATACAGAATCTATTTTACTCGATTCTTCACAATTTTCTTCCTTTATGGATTCATCATTCCATAATGCAGAATCTGTTTTATTTGGGGTTATGGGTTCACAATCCCACAACACAGAATCTATTTTAATTGATTCTTTACTATTTTCTTCCTTTATGGATTCATCATACCGTAAGAGAAAATCTATTTGATGTGAATCTAGTTTAGCTATGAAAGAACGAAAATCCTCTCTAGCAGGATACAGGACAGGATACTCAGCATCATTTCTTTTATCGCCGGTTGAAATAACACCTAACTTCTTCTATTGCATCTGTTCAGTCGCAGCAATAGTTATAAGTCAGCGCTCTGAAGTATCACATATCGGGTCAAGCCGTCAGCAACATTATCAATGACTCACTTATTTGCACAAGTTTCTTCTGCTGAATTATAACTGGCATTGCTCCCATTGCCAATAATGCATAATAACCGACACTTTGCTTTATACCTATTTTGTTAGCCTATGCACTTTTTACCTATAAATACCGTTAAGTTTATGCAATAAAATCAGTAACAATTTTGACTCCTACAATCAAGTTTTACTCAATTTGCATTCAACAGAGGCTGTCCCACTAGTCTTCAGATCCTCATATGCAATCCTTGTCCAACTGGTTCAAGTTCTAGTTGCGACGACTTTGGGCAGACAGTTTCTGTACTGTATGCCAAGCATCTAAGCCAAGCAATAAACATTTTGGTGACCCCGACCTTGAACACAACTTTGGAGATATCTTCCATACAAGTCCTTTTGCCCAAGTCGCCAACAAGGCGACAGATTAAGGACACCTGAGCAAAGTCGACTCAGGAAGTTGAAAGACTGGTCAACAAGGCGACCAGCTCCGTCAACGATTTAATAAAATCGTTTCTGTGATCCCGGTAAACGGATTTAGATCATCCAATTACGGACACATTCTCGAAGTTGTCAACAGGCGACATTTTTAACCAGAATCAAACATTCTTAGAATACGAGAACTCAGCCCCACAGTTGCTGTCATCAAATTCACCCAAATCATTCATAAGTGTTAAAAGCTTCTTTGATCAATTCGATTGCGAATAGGAGCGTATCCAGCTATACAAGCAAATAAAACACTCTGTAATAAATATGAGTGACATGGATGAGCAAGCAGTCACAGAAGCACTAGACGTGCAAGAGGAGATCAGTCAAGAAATCTCAAAATTTATCATCAACTTCAAGAAAGGTTCATCGGAGAGGAAATCAAGTCCGAACTATTGTGAAAACAGACTAACCATACTCGATGACGCTTGGAGTCGATTCACAAAGAATGATCTCAAGATTCCTCAGAAGTATAGAACTACAGTATACATGAAGTTCTACAACGACTGTCGTGAGTCATACGACAAATATCGAGCTATCATACGGGACGGCATGGGACAATCAACAAGCCAAGACGAGGTGAATCCAGACTCAACTGTTAACCCTGCAAGCATTCAGCAGCCCACGATAGAGTCAAAGAAACTAATATCAGCATGTCGTCGACAAAAGGCAATATCAGATTCTATTAAGCGGGATCTACTCAAATGGACTCAGTTTTTTGATTTATTCAAATGCATGGTCCATGATACTAACATGCCGACGGTACGGAAAATGTGGTACCTAAAAACCACCGTAACTGGAGAGGCTGAAAGATTGATAAGACACATCTGTTCGTTATCAATGTTGCTCAACATGACCAACGTTCGTACTCTACGTTGCTCAACATGATCAACGACCAACAACTCTAGCAGTAGTACAATTGGTAACAGTACCAGGCGTTCAGTTGCACCCACGGCAGATATTATAATATTTGTTGATCGGCACATTCTATATAGTCAATGTCAACGGTTGACTCGATGTCTCACTGACCCGCCAAGCGGTCAGCACATTCTGCAGTGTCAGCCGATCCAACTACGCTAACCACTGCCATAGTCAAAACATACTGACATACTCCAGAATACAACCCATTCCACTATTCTTTACACTTAACTTCCTCATCTCCAAGTAGTATATAACCATGTACCAAGTTCACAATAAATCAGTTATCAACAAGCCACGCTTGGGATCAAACATTGGTGATCCCGACGTGATCCTTGCATATCCAAGGATCACACTCACAGGGAATCAACTAACTAACCGCGACCAGGTCTAACAGGATCTGTGGCAACAGCTTCGTGATCTGGACACCGAGATTAGAGAAATGGCACGCACACGAGAAGCCGCAAAAACACTACCACCAGCACCAAAGGAGCTGGACGCATCAATAAGCAAGGCAATCTGACTATTGCAATTACGATGTACCGAAATGGAATCATCCCTCAACCTAGCATCCCATGCT